TGCATTTGAAGTTTGAGGCGCAAAACCGCAAGAACTTTCTTCACGACCTAATACTTCCTTACCCTCCACCTGCGGTCGTGCTACCTAGACTCATCACTAACCGCCTACAAATCCGTCATCGAGGGAGAAAACTCAGTGAAGGAGATAAATGAGGTCGAGCCTAAACCATCTTAGACGCTCTCCCCTACACTGAAGGATCTCCTGATATCGTCTCGAGTCCGCGAAAAACGGTATCGAGTAAATCTTGTTGATACTCTACGTCCAAGAAGATCTATGACTTCAAGGCACCGTCTGTTCGATTCAGTGCGGGGATGTGCAAGAAAGAATGTGGGGGAGATAGCAAGAGCCCTGATGATCTGCATAAACAAATACAGAAGAGCGTTGGCCAATCACGTTGTCCACCCACATAGACACCGTACACTTAAGCATGATAAAAAACGCTACATTCTTCGATGAGAGCGAATTGCATAGGTATTAGGTACGGCCTTTGGGAAGAAAATACCGGATAAAGTCAGAAATCCATGCAAAGAAGGAGATAGTGATTTCCTGTGAGTGAATGAATGATAACCCTACGTCCTCAGGATGAGAGCGTCGACCATTCTCCTTTCATGTCTCCTGATGACAGATACACCCCATATTTCCCCAATGATTCCGGTTGACTTAGTATTTATTTATTTATTTATTTATTTATTGAAGACGTTGCATAAGGCAAACGTGGGAAAATTTCTATCGCTAACAACACAACACAGCGTTACCTAATTATACGACAAGAGCTTTTTCTTAGCGAGGAGTTTGAAAAGTGCAAACGTGGAAGTGGTGAGTGGCACATCTGATTTTAGAGATATAAAAGTAGTGCCGGCTCGGCAAGTAAAGCTGTACCGTCTGATGTTGGTTCTCGGCGTTGCATATGAAATTTTAACTTTTCCACCTCTGGTTCTAGATTCCAACTTTGCATAGAATTTGGATGCGTCGATTCTAGCAATACCAGTCAGCAACTTGAACACCATACATGCATCATAAACCTTCCTACGAGACCATAAACAGTGCAATTGTAAACTTTTATTCCTTGAATTTGGCCGAGGCACTTTACCATAAGTAGCATCACCAGATCTAATAACCAGCTTTCGAGTGAAATTATCTTGGATTTTCTCAATCAACTGAATATCCTTCACCTTATATGGGCAGAAAACAGACGTTCCACATTCAACTACTGGACGTATATACGTTTTGTAAGCCTTCAGTAAAATATCCTTATCACTAATCGCTAAACCTTTGAAGACCTGGTATGTTCGGAAGATAGCCTTTTTGAAAATAGCCGCATAGTGATCCGAGAAATCAAGCTTGTTGTCATAGTGGAAGCCCAGGTCTTTAACTGA